AACCCAGGCATTCTAGTTCTCAAGTTCATAATCTTAAATGCTATATCATGTTAAATGACTACTTTGTCCCTGTGACTTTAATGACAATTTTTACTATGAATATAGAATTTATATACACCTTAGAATTCAATCCAGTACATGGAATATTTATTCTTTAAATTCCAGGTAATCTGGATGGCTTTGGGAAACTGAGACTAACTTCTGGAAGTTGTACTTAACTAAACCTATGTTTTAAAGTCTAGATTTTTCAGGATGTCTTTTGGAGTTTCATGTGTCTGTCATTCCTCTGTTTAAGGAGCACCTAAAAGTAAAGTCTGAGAACGTTTCATTCATTTTTCTTTCATTTTAATTGACAGAGATGAGAAATTGTTCAGAAATTGAGACCTGTTTAGAAATGCTGTGTGCTGGCCTGTTTTGGTAGGTTTAATTATATAAATTAAATATAAATTAATTCTATAAATAGATTTAGGAGAACTGGTCCTTTGTGTTCCAAATAAGGCAAAAAATTCAATGTATGTTTGGATGACACTATAGGTAAAGTAATAGAGGAATTAAATGGTCTAAAGGTCCTTATCCCATTCTAGAACTGTGTTCTAGTATTCCCTTCTGGTTGATCAGTAAGTGAGGAATAAGATACTCTTTGAAAGGCATCCCAATCTAGGCAAAATAGTAGAAGTGATACAGAATTATCTGAATATGTTTCTAAAATCACATTTAAAATGGAATAAAGACCTTGTAAAAGAACTTGATTCATCTGATTATTGGCATTTTTCAACTTCCTCTTATGGCAATATTTTTTAAGACTGGGTTATTCCAAAAAGGGGTGTGATTTGCTGTTACAAAATACTATGGACTGGGGGGCTGAACAACATTTATTTTTCACAGTTGTAAAAGCTGGGAAGTCCAAGATCAAGAGGCTGGCAAATTCAGTGACTAGTGAGGGCCTGTTTCCTGTGTGCAGGTGGCTGCCTTCTTGTTGTTTCCTCGCATGACAGGGAAAGGGAGGGCTCTGGTCTCTTCCTCATCTTATGAGGGTATTAATCCCATTATGGGGCTCCACTGTTACGACCTCATCTATCCCTACTACTTCACTTCCAAATACTATCACATTGGGAGTCGGGTCTTCAAAATAGGAATTTTAAGGGGACATAAACATTCAGTCTATAGCAAGGAGATATCAGTACTTTTAGCACGCCCTAGAAGATATAAATAAATACATTTTTAATGTACTCGAATGTTTTAAATGATCTCCAATGTGTTATTCACTTGTTCAAAATACAAATTACACTGACAAATTTTGGGAATGTACTCTGTATAAGTTGATCTCAGCTTCCTTAGTGGCAATTTAAGCACTTGCTTGATTTTCAACCCACAGGCTTTATTTTATTCAATCTCTCACTTTAGAGCCCTTGTCAGAAAACTAAGAAGTGCCATCTACCTTGAGTTCTAAGCTCTTGAAACATTTAAAATTACAAATGCTTTTCCAATATTAGTTTCTTCAATTTGGGATGTCAATGTGACTCATGTTGACAGAGTTTAAATTACCTTTCAGAGATCTGGTTGTTCAAATCACCAAATAATATCAAATAAAATATTAGTCCTATTGTACAAATATGAAACAAACATTTTTAAAACACAGTAGAAAATACATCCATGTGACTTTAAGATTAACCATTTACGAGACTCCCATTGTCATTAAATATTTTGCAATTTGACAATTCAAGTTCATAATTAGTTTCAATACTGTACTACTAAAGCTAAATATGTTAGCTATTATAACAACCTCATTCTCTACTGCCAAAGAATAAATAAAACCCCTAGGAAAATCTCTATACTATTTTTATGCCTCTGTGAAACCTTTACATATTCAGAAACATATTGTTTCCAGTAGGCAAAATGTGATTTTTCTTGAGACTCCAACTATCAAATGATAAAAATTTATATTTCATGTGAAGCTAAGTTACTACTAGAAACAAAATTTAAGCATAAAACAAAAGTGAATCATGGCAATAATGATTAGTTCAATGGGACACAGAAATGCAGTTTTATTGAAAACAGTAAGATACCATGAAAGTACAATGAAATACAGTGAAATATCTTTAATTTCTCAAAGAATTTCTATTTCCAAAAGCTCCTTCCACATCCAGAATATTAATAACATTAGTGTCCCAATGGATTTGTATAACTTTTGTTTGATAATTCCATTCACGTGCAGGCAAATCAGATCTATGTCTTAAAATATATTACCACTCTCAACTATAATTACAGCTTGTGAAGAAATATGACAAATGTGTCTTTTTTGTTGTTCTTACTCCTAGTTTTAAACCTCAAAATCTTTAGACAGGCTTTAATTTAACTTAGTTGAAGAACTCATAAGCAATGAGTTTATGAACTTGGAGACTGCAAGAAAGTAACAATGACATGTACTTAGCTACCCACATATACTTAGCAATGAGAACTGCAACATTTTAATTAAATTTCCAAAAAAAATAAACGCTAAGTTAGATGTGAATCATCTAACTATTGTTACTATAGATGAAACACTATGTTTTGTTGAATTGCAAACATTTTTCATTATTGAACTTTTGATGCACCTAGTAAATAGATCACAGCAGGGGGAGTAATTGTTTTGAAAATACTGTTGAAAATAAAAAGGAAATATTAAAACAAGCTGCTACTACCTCTTAATAGAAATTCAACACACTGTTAGGATCTGAGTTTTAATTATAAGCTGGCTGAAACATGAGAGTATTCATGTAGACCTCAGGGTGACTCTATAGAGTCATACAAATCCGATATTAGCACCAGACATGTTTGATGTTTGATAAATCATACATTCTTACGATGAGGGCTATAATATAGCACTATTGATTTACAATAATGGGACTCAAGGAACATCAGCGAGATGAACACCAAAGTCTCAGCATCTCGCCCTCTCTAGAGCTGGCAGGCCGAACTACAGAAACAATCTCCATTTGATTTCAAGTCCCAGGTTCTGCATTCTGTTGCGTTAACATTTGGAATGGTTGTGGATTAATCGATCTACGATATTGTCATCACTGTACTGATTTTTTCATGGAATTTAGAACTTAGAGAGGTCCAGGACTTTCATTGTTCAAATGAGGCTCAAATAGGCTGTGTAGGGGTTAGTGAAAGCAACTTTGGAATACAGCAGTATTGGGTTCTAAAGCACAAATTGTATTAGTTTTCCCAATTTAACATCTCTAAAGCTCCCTTTCCTTATCTACAAAATGGATATGGTAACAATGCTACTTTCTTGAGATTATTATGCATTTACAGGAGCTGTAAAGTTGGTGTGCAGTGAATGGGAAACAAATGATAGGTGTTATTATCATTATTATTAAATCACCCAAAAGTGCCTCAGCCACTTTGTCAAAGAGTAAAAATGATCCAGAAGTTCCAATTTTCTATTTAATTCTTTCTCCCAATCACTTTCTCCCAACACGGACAACTTGTAACACTTCATTTCCTTAAATCTGAGATAATACATTAACCAAAGGAGCTTGTCCATTCCCCTAGTCTATATTTTAGCTCCATGAATAGAGTGCCCAAGCTAATTTCTGAGGAACATCTGGAAAGAAATATGAAGAAATTGCAATAAACCCCAGACATGCTGTGCTGCATCAATCTACATAATTTGAAATGACCCATATTTGCCTTTCATGTTCAGAGACCACAGTACTGTGACTGAATTATCCAGCATAGGCCAATGGGTAGCACGAAAACCCAGATAGAATTGCACCTTTCCAGCCGGCTTTAGAAAACATGGTGAACCAGAACTGAGTGGTCACCTCAAAGGCATTTTTAACAGACCAACTAGCAAATAGCCTCATCAAAACAGAGACGATTCCCCCCATCACATCTCCTGAAAGCACCACAGGAATATCACAGAGCAGTGCCAGATCAAGGGTCCTTAATTACACCTACAGAGTGTAGGATGTTTTTCCCAGTCAAGGTACCAAATATGAAGATGCTCAAACGCCCAGGAAGCTTGCGTCACTCATTTGAAATCACAAACCAGCTCAGGCTAAAGCACACATAAACACAGTCTCCAGAACACGTGATGTGGACAAGTCTGAATTGTAAGGTGGGCAGATCAGGAATTGGGCATCTCACATGGGGTGACACCATTTTCGAGGCTGCAGGTGTCCTCTGGCCCAAATTCATACACGCAACTTCTCCCAAGATGCAAGAAGTCAAAAGGTGCACAAACCCTGTGTTCTCTCTTCTAATTTGGTCACCCAGGTACGCAGTGGGGAAGCAAAAAGCGGCACTAGATGGCTAAAAAGTCGATCAGATCCAAGGGCACTGGCTTACCCTGGGCCTCCCAACCCCACCCTACATGTTAAAGTGATTCACCTGGAAGGAGGCTTCCTATAACTCAATAGCTTCTCACCCTGCCCTCAAATTGTGTGCACCTCGAAGGGCTTTTTACCAATTATTGTTATTTTTAAAAAGAAGAAGAAAGAAAGAAAATGAAAAGAAGAAAAAAGAAGACAGGCACAAAGCTGGCCCGCTGTGCTTCCTTATCCCAACAACTTCACCAGATTCCTGACGAGGGAGCACGCCCTACACTCACTCAGTAGGGGACAGCAGCGGGGCGTCCTTCTCCGGTGGCCCAGCCCTCGACTCTGGCCCCCTTCGCCCCACAGCTGCCCCTCGTCCCTTGGTCCCAGGCAGCGAGCTGTGCCAGCAGACCCTCCGAGCTCCGCGCTCTCCACTCTGGCTCCACCACCCCTACCCCACATCTACTTTTTTCCTGGGCACTCAGCAGAAGAGACAGGGGTGTGGACCGATGGTGTGGGATAGAAGGGCAGGTGGCCCAAGGACTGAACCGGCAAATGCCCCTTCCAAGCCACCCATGGGTGTCCCAGACCCGCGCGCCTCGCATCCCGAGGGGTGCAACCCTAGCCCCTTGCCTGGCGCCCCAACCAACTCCGCCGCCCGAGCCGAGACACCTCTGTTTGCACTCAACTTACCGTGGCTGGGCTGAGCTTTCGGCGCTCCCAGGAGCTTTTCTCTTCTTCCTCCCACCGAGCTCTTCATCCTTCTGCTGGCGGCCGCCCGGCGCCCTGGCCCTGGCATCCGGGAGGAGCAGCCGCCCGGGCTGGTCGTCCCCGGGGGCGCACGGCTGCCCGCCCGCAGCTTCGGCGGCGGTGGTCGTGGCGAGCCGTGAGCGGCCGCCGAGGAGAATGGTCTCCGTTGTGCAGCGCGTGCTGTCCCTCAGGCGCGGGCTGGAGGTGGCAGGCAGCGCGCCTCTGCCTGCTCCACGCTCGCGGCGCTCCGCACGCGTCCCGAGCCCGCGTCAGCCCCAGGTGCACCAGGCTTGGGAGAGGTGCGAGCCGGCGCGCAGGGAGGGGCCGCGGCCTGGGGGGAGCCGGAGAGAGGGAGGCGGATGAGAGGCGAAGAACTAGCTTTAATGGAGTGAGTGGGTCATGGGTGTTAGGGGAAACACGAGGAGGCTAAATGCATCCAGAAACCAGAGATGTTAGAAATGAGCGAGCTGCTCTTTGAGTGAGGCTCAGAAAAGGGGCTTTCCCTTTTGTGGTTAGGTCATTTAATCTCCTGGTTTGGGTGAGATACCTCACACTTCCCCCACACTCTCGTTTTTTTTTTTTTTTTTTTTTTTTATTATTATTTTAACAGTTAACCTCAACAACCGCAGACAGCAGATATCAGTGAAGCTACTGCAAGTATACAGGGGAGTCCCACATCCACAAAGCCCAGGTGCACATCCCTCTGGAGGGACCTACGTCCTACTGACATTTCTCTCCCCTCACCTGACCCCCCCCACACACACACACTACAATAACCTAGGGATGAAAAAACACCTTTTGTTGCTCTCTTCTAGAACTCAGAGGGGTGTTTCCTAAACTTTACTGTGCACAGGAATAATCTTGGGATCTTGTTAAAGTTCAGATTCTGATCCAATAGGTCTGGAGTGGGGCCTGATATTCTGCATATTTAATGATGTGGCAGAAGTTGCTGATCCAAGTACCATATTTTGAGTTGCAAAACACAAACAAAATAAACCTACTTTCTAACATTGGCTGAGCCATTATTTGTAAGATAATCTGAAATAACAAGTCACTATGGCACTGGTTTTTATGTGGTTTCAGGATGCTACTATGAAAGCCAAATAACTTATAAACAGGAACACAGTGCCAAAGGATAAAATACACTACAGGTAAGCTTCTCATTATTATCAGTTATAATTGCTCCTAATAAAATCGTTATGGATACTAATGCTGATGAAAGGGTAGAGAGATATTGGTACTTTGCCATTCTATGTGTTCTCAAGAGAAGCTCGAAAATACAGTCAACAGTGACCATCCCCAAACACACTGTCATTCAGAAAGAAAATGTAAGTAATATCCTCTAAGGGGCAGTCTATCCCTCTTCTGAGCCCAGAAGAAGAACACAACGCTGTTCAAGAGTTTATTATCAAATAGTCAAATCGCGTATCACGCTAATAGATAAAACAATCAAGACGAGCAAATGCCAAAAAGAACAAAGAAATAAAGAGAGAAGTATAGCCTATGTACCAAAAGATCTGTTGTGTTTAGAGTTAGCATGACTGTTAAGTTAGTGTGATCCTCTCTTTTTCTTAATGCTTTCATCTGGATTTAAACAGCCATCCCTTGATTTCAATTCAGCAAATAGTTACTAAGCCTTTACCATGTAAATGCCTTTCTTGGGGGATAAACACATCTGGCCCTATTCCTGGTTTGAAAGACAAATTTGACAGTACACCAATAAGTACCATATTAGGCACACTGTGGTGCCAGAAGAGAACACCAACACCTTAGCACAGAGTCCAGAAGGCATTGAAGTCTGGAGAGCTTCATGGAAGGGAGGTCATTCAAGATAAGCCTTAAAATGTGATATGATTTCATCTGGCACAGTGCAAAGGAGGGCAGTTGTGTATCCTTTTGCCCAGAACATACAGTATAAGAAGGAAGGTAGAAGACATGGCGTGAGTTTTGAGATTGGAAGAGGCCATGTCAAGTGGGCTATGATTGTTAGCCAAGCAGATTGTACTTTACTTCAAAAGTGTTGAATGGGGGACCAGCATGGTCAGAAATGTACCAAGAGGATTAATCTTTTACAATAGGTTGACAGGGTGACCTAGAACCAGAAAATAGTGGAGCTGTAGAGAGAATCTTGGAGGCGGTAGAAACCCTGGGTGAGGGGTCATGAAGATAAGAATGATGGTAATAGTTGTGGAAACAGAAATATAAAGATGTTTAAAAAGAGACATTGCTGAAATATAATTAATAGCATGTAGCATTTATGTGGAGAAGATGGATTTGTTCAAAATATCTCTAAGAGTCTATGCCTAGAGAACTAGAAAAAGGGTGACACTATTAAGAACCAAGAAACCAAAAAAGGAACTTACAGTTGGTTGATTTTATTTTTATGTTTGTTTGGGAAAGGCTATCAGATAATGAATTCTCTTTGAGCACTTATAATCAGAGGTTTGAGGGAAATGTTCAGGTGGAGGTGCTCATACAATTAGAAATGCAAGCCCTGCTCTGAGGAAATGGGTTCTGTGTTAGAGTCTGTATTAGCTCTTGTGTTTGAGAGCTCTGCGCATGCACATGGAGTCCACTTGTTGGGAGAATGTGAAGTTTGTGAAGTAGAATACCGAAAGACACAGAAAATTCTCAGGACAAAAGCTTAGAGCTGTGTGACTGCCCTGTTCCTCAGTATCCTTGTTTGTAAAATGTGAAGAATAGTGATTATGAGCATTAAAAATGTATTGGTTTCTCATTCAGATTATTTTGCACTAACCTGTTCAGTCTGAGAGGGCAGGAACCATGTGTATCACGTTGATTGTTGTAGCCCCAACACCTGACTTAGTGCTTGTCAGCTAGTAGGCTCTAAAAGTATTCCTAAACATTTCAATATAATTAACAAGTAAGTTAATTATTTGGTAAAAAGAAGAAGAGACACCAAAGCACAACAAAAGAGACGGGAAAAGATGCTAAATCCTGTTATTTCAATGTCATGGAATTTAAGTCAAGGAAAACTTTTGTTACAGAGATGGTCAGTGGGTACAGAGATTAAAATGGAGGCATACACATTGAGAAGGTTTTTGTTTTTGTTTTGGAGGGGGATATAGCTTAAGAGTTGATTGATTACATTTGATAAAATAATAGCACTAGAGAGTTATCACAATTATGAATGGCAAAGGAATTCAAGGAAGAACATTAGATTATTCCTTAAAAAAACCTGACCATGAACTTGAAGATAAGAAAAAAGATTTGGGGTAGATGGTTGATAGCAGACTTAAAAAAAGGTTATTCCTATTTAGTAAAGGAAAAGTCCAAACATACTTTGTCGATGAGGTTAAAGGGCCAAAAGTGTGGAAGAGAAGTTCCAGGTGAGATAAGGGGAGAATGGATTGAGCAATATCTGAAAAGAGAAACAGAACTAGTGAAGCAAAGGTGTAAGCAATCAATCTTGGCAGAGAAAAGGGTCACCTGTTCCTTAGAAGCAAGAACAGAGGAATAGAAACACGATATATTGAGATTCTAAAGTGGAATAAAAGAAGTGGGAAATTCTCATATTATTTTGTCCCCAGTATCTCCAGGAAAAGAGAGATGAGGCTTTCTCCTGAAACCTTTTGATAAGCCAACAAGAAATAGCATTGTGAACTAAAATTGTGGATGGTATTTGGAACAAGCTGTAAGAGATATTATAATGAATCAACAAAAGAGGAAGAAAGATCAGTAAGTCATGTGGGAACCTGCCTCAGGGATAAAATATACATTTATTATAATGAAAACAATCAGCATTTTTATTTATTACTCTCCTAGCAATATTGATGACATACAGAAATAAAGCGTACAACAAGGTTTACTTAGGACTAGTGATCAACAAAGTAGAAATTATGGTCCATTAAGCAAGTGAGACATTTCATAGAGTAGAACTTGAGAGTATGAACTTTTGAAGCGTTCAGATTTAGGACTGATTTGCCATGCTACCATTTGCAGTTGGTGAAAATTTGCATACTTTACTTAATCTTTCTGAGCCTAGTTTTCTCATCTGTAAAACAGGAGTAAAACTATTTACCCTCTGGTCTTAGGTTTTACAAGTAAATAAGATAATATTGATAAAGCAGTGGCTCTCAAACTCAAACATGCATCGGAATCACCTGAGGAACTTGTCAAAACACAGACCACGCGGCTCCACCCCTACAGTTAGCCATACACCAGATCTGGAATGGAGCTTCAGAAATGTTTCTAACAATTCCCAGGTGATGCTCCTTCTGGTCAGGAAACCACACTTTGTGAACCACTGTTGTAAAGTACTTAGTATAATGCCCAGTACATAGCAAGAACTAAATACATGGTCTCTAACAGTTAGGATTGGTAATCATTATATGTTATAATAACTAAAGGTAGGGCCCATGTTCAAAAGAATATAGATGAAGCACAAAGGTGAGAGATGGACAGAGATCATTGGAGGAGGCTGAAAATTTGAAGGTCAGAAAAATGACGATTATATTTTGTGTGAGGAAAGTGATGGGGAAAAAAAAATCAAGATCAAGAAGGTTTGATGGAGGAGAGAATCCTAATAAGATAGCCCATTTGATAAGAGAAAATGGAGGCTCAGAGACAATAAGCAACCATATCTGATAAGCTCTGATCTCTGTAATTACAAAATCTGTACAATTACCCCTCTAAATACTGTCTGTGATAAAGTAAAATAAAGTGAATAAATGTAGTCCATCCACACTCCTTTTTTCTTAGGTTGGGTTTTTCAGGAAACACACTCTGGAGACATGGAAATTTGTGTATAGGAAGTTTATTGAGGAAAACCATTGAGATCAAGACCTGTGAGAAAGTAAAGGACATGGGATTGGGTAAAAGGAGAAGTTGAAGTACAATACAGTCTCACAGAGGCCTCCACCATCCCACAGGAGCAATGGGCTGCCTTGGCCCTTCGAGTGACCCTGAACTAATGACAGGGAGCCCGGTCTTTGTACTGTTGAATCACCTAGTCATTCCTAATAATCAGAATTAAGTTGATGCAGAATCCTGCAGAACGAACCTGCTCAAGCATACTATCACTGCTTTATAGCAAACCAAAGCTGGCTATCTTGAATGCAGTGATTATTTTAATAAATATTATTATTCGCAAGGCACTA